CATTTCGAAAGCACGTCCAGCATATGCGTGCATTTTAAAACACTGCATAAGACAATTTGTGACCACACAGTTATTTATTAGTCACAAATTATTCAATTAATTGGTCATAAATGCTATTCACCCTACACTCTCTACCATAGTCGCACCACCCAAATGTGGTCACCAATTCAAATTTCTAACCGACATCTCCTCCTTCACTGCACTCCACTCCACTCTACCCACCACCATCACAACCGGTACCAACCAAATCTTTGCCACACGTCAAATCCACAATCCCACCACCTTCACTTGAAATCTACAACTACCGTCGCTACCTCCACCTTAAATAAGTCGGCAAATCCACAACCTCACCACATTCACTTGAACCACCATCGCTACCTCCACCTCAAATAAACCAGCAATCCACAACCATACCATCCTCAGATTTCATCAGACCGTCACCATTGCATCGTCGAACCACCGCAAATGCAATGCCACCATCAACGAATTCCAGACCTACATCAAAAGGAGCTTTCACCACACCTCCTCCATAATTACCACCTCCACCTCAAACTACTTTCACCTTCCATTGGACCAACATCAATTGCAGTTCCACCATCGACTTCTAGATCTACATCAAAAAGGGCCTCCACTGCACCTCAAATCCACAACCACCACTACCCCCATCTTAAACAAATCAAGTTGAGTTACTGTCATTTAACAGAAAGAAAGTTTATTTTAATGCTTGTTGTTTCAATTCTTTCTTGACAAAATGGTGGTGGGTGGGTACATATTTGGATTTTTTTGAAAAATATGGAGTGGGTTTGTTCACTTAGAAAGTGCAAACCGCAAGCTCACAGGCCGCATTCAAGTAATAAAGTGAATCTTTTGAGTCCGAGTTATTGATTCATCGAGGATTGTATACTTTAGATTACACAATTTAATTTCAACAATAAAAAGAAATACACACAGTAAAGATTATAATTTTGGAAAATAACTAAAAATCTACAAAACAAGAAAACATAAAATTTTGGAAAATTTCAGAGGAAAATGTGGTTGTGGTTAGAGATGGCAAAAAATCTCATCGGCTCAAGCGGCTTGGGCTCAGTTACACCGGCCTCTTTTTTTGGCTGGCCTTTGCTCGGCTCGAGCTCAAAAAAGCTCGGCACAAAAAAGTTCGAGCAGAACCTGAGCTTTTTTATTTAATTTATAGTACGTATAAACCGTACAAATTTTAAACTTTTTAAGTAAAAATGTAGATTTGACATTAAAAAAAAAAA